TACCTGTGTAGTTTTGAGCCTAGTTCTTGGGCTGGTTGTGTGAGCTGCCCATTAACCTTCTGAGACACTTGCTGCTTAATTCAGTCATTCTGTGCCTATGATTTCTAGCTGGGAACTATGACAGTCACACAGTAATTGAGTCCCTGACCTGTCCTTCCAAGTCTGACTTTCTTATCAGTTCCCACTTGATGTAAGAGAAGGGGACCCACATTCCATCTCAGGGAAGGATATTAACCTAGTCACATTGTTCTTCTGTGTCAGGGAGACTGAGCTGTGGAAAGTGCCCTTAACTCAGACTGAGAACCACATGCTTTAATCTTCATTTTATCAAAACTAACCCAGTGACCTTAGGCAAGTCACTTCACCTCCCTGGGTTTCCTCATCTGTCAGGTGGTCTAGATGGAGATGCCGATCAGAAGACGCCTCATTTCTACATCATTCCTGTTCTCTGAGCCTGAGTTTCATCACAGTGCTTCAGTTTAGTGGAGTATTTTTGTTTGTTTTTCCTGTAGTAACTTGTAACTATAGCTCAAGCAAGAAAGCTTAATGTATGGTTAGTTTTATCGCTCCATGCCACTCCTGGTTTCCAACCCCAGGCTCAGATATATCCCAGCTTTAAAAACCCAAGAGCTGGAACTCCACAAAACAAGGCTTGATACATGTGTATTCAAGCTATTCACAAGGACTGGATCTAGGAAGTATGTCTTCTACTTATGGGTGCAATCTTCTTTACCTATGGACAGGGGAGGGCTTATCAAATCAGCCCAGGATTGGGGCTTGAATCCTGACTCTAAGTGGCCTTGAGCGAGGACCATCAGGTTCCCACACGCCGCTTCATGCTACTAGCTAACGAGTTGGGGCTGGCTTATCTTCCCAAGGAAGATGTGAGTTTCTCAGGAGCAGGATCCGTGTCTTAAATAGATTTCATGTCCACCCTCCTACCCCTCTTCCTTCGACTTTTATATACCCATGTATACATGGAACATCTCTGGAAGACCACCCAGGGAGGACTGGAGCCAGGAGGAAGAGGAAGGCTTTTCCTTACTGTACACTCCTGAATATTTGGCCATGAATGTAATGTGATTATTTTAAACTACTTAATAGAGAAATAAGAAAACTCACATCTTCATTTTTTTTTTCATTTTATGATAGTACAATAGTGTGTTTGTCCAACCTCTTATTTGGGGGCATTCTGATTTCTCTATCTGGTTAGGGGTTGTTGCTCACCTCTCTTCAACCTGGGATGGCCTCCCAGAGGAGGTGGCTTCTGATGGGTGAGTAGGAATTAGGTGAAGGAAAGGTATCCAAGCAGAGAGACCATCGTGAAGGTATGAGAGTGTGGGCCTTACGAGAAAACACAAGGAGGGTGGACTTGGTGAGGATCAGCCTGAAGGGATGGGATAGGTCATTAAGGGCTCCTGCAGCATGCTAGAAACTTGAATCCTGGGACTTTATCCTAGACACAACAGGAAGCCATTGAAAGGAATTTAGGTTGGTGAGTAATACTGATTAACTGTACCAATCAGCAACTCCCAGACAATGAATAGCTTCTCATGACTTGTTGATAAGATAACTGGATTGTCATCTCCTAGAACCCCCCTACTGTGGTGTGATCGTGAGACCCCCTACCAGACCATCAGGTTATTCTACTTTTTGTGGGACAGTCAGTGTCTCTGCTACTTAAAAGCAGGTGGTCTTTAGAAGATCAGTGCTACTGCCCTTGGTGGTATTTGGGGTGATGTTCATGGGGGTTTCACGGAATCAGATTTTTGGTGATGGGGAAAACTTGGGAATCCAGTTCAGTTACAAATCCAAGTATTTGTGGGGAGCACTTGGGCTTCTGCAGACATGCTTACCAAGAAAACCTTTTTCTGATCCTAAGTGCCTTGCAATAGATTGAAGACATCGATGTAATCTTAGAGGCTCAGAATCCCTAAGAAATCATCAGAGGAATTCGGTTCGTCCTACCAAGGTTCTCTGAGCACTGAGTCTGTGGCAGCATGACACTTGACATGCAAAGGTCCCTGCCCTCTATGAGGTCAGTCTAGCAAAATACAGGAGGATATGAGATAAGAGTGATCATTTAAAACAGGAAGTTTTACTGTTGAACTCTGATATTAAAGTGAGATCAGATAAGAAAACATTTGTGAATCTTCAAGTTCAAGCCAAGAGTTTTAAATATCTATCAGGTAGTTCACCTTTTTTCTCTGGGACACTGATCTTACCAGTGGTCAACATTTCATGAGCTCTCAGTCGAATATCATTTTCCCAAGATTTAGCTGCCATACAATGACCAGGTTCTTATTTTCATTTGAGGGATGTAGGGTAGATTAATTAAAACTTATAAAGCTTCGCATTAAAGTTCAATAAAAGTTGGAATAAAATACATCTAATACAAAAAGAAAAGTGCAATACGAAAATGAATGTAGGTATATATGTGTGTATAACTGGGACCTTATGCTGTACACTAGAAATGGGCCCATTGTAACTGACTATACTAAAATAAAAAAACTAAATTAAAAGAAAAACGCAAAGGTAATTTACTCAAACCAGAACCCTTATGAGAGTCAAAGGGGTTCAATTTAGTAATTTCACCCAGAAAACAGGTATGAGCTAAGGCTGTCCCAGGGAAAGCAGGGCTTAACCAGCACCTTAAGCTGTGTATCATGCAGGGAACTCATTCTGTTACCATATTGGTTGACTGGACTCGCGCCAGCATCCTAGCCTGTGCCAGGACCCCTTGTCTCCACCAGGGAGGTTCTTTTTCTGATCGGATTCACACAGCCAATAAAGAAACCAATGCTGAGACCGGAACAGCATCAGCTTTATTCAATGGCAGAAAGAATAGAGAAGCAGGAACCTAGTTCTCAAATCAACTTCCCAACCCAATTAGGATGGAGACACCAAATCTATAGAAGGGTTGAGGGAAAAGGGAGGGAGTTGGAAAGAGGAGGAGGAATATTCATGACCTATCCAAGAACAGGGGTGTGGTTTGGATCCAGAACTGATGCAACAGTCCTTTTCAGTCCTTGAATGGGCTTTTCCAGTTGTCATGGCGATTGTCAACTTTCATGGCGCTGGTGGGAGTGTCATTTAACCTATATATTATAAGGAGCAAATAATGAGGTTCAGGGTCTACTGGATGTCAGAGCTTTCCATCTTCTTAGGCTTAGTTGGTTTTTGTTTTTTCTCTTTGCAGCTTCCTCCTGAAATTTAGATAAGAGTAATTGTTTTCCATTCAAGGGAGGGGCCGGGGTAAGATTCTAGGGCAATTCTACTTAGAATAAAAGAAAGACCAACTATTAGTTTATCCATAAATAAAGGTTGGTTTATTCATAACAAGGGTTGACCATGCCCTACCCCCCATAAGCAGTCTGGAAGTGGGTTGTTGCTGGTGGCCCAGCTGCCCCTGTATGCAAGAGTTGAAGGTTCCAATTCCCTTGGTCTTATCCCTCCAGTGCTAAAATGTCAGATCCAGACACTGCAGCCAGGCAAGAAGAAAAGGTGTGGTCTGGGGTGGGGAAAGCTGAGGCTTTCCAGAAATCCTCTGTGGGCTTATGTTCATTCAGCATTGACCAGAACTGTGTCCCATATCCCCCAGCCGCAAGAGAGGTGAGAAGGCTCCTTTTCAATGAGGGAGTAAACAAAGGGAAGAGAGGGTCCGAAGGGCTTTGGTTGCAACCTACAGAGCATCTGCCCCAGGCTCCAAGTGGGAAACACACAGAGCTGTGGTTGCAGAAGAGGACACACCTAACTATGCAGGGGGGATGGGGGTGGTGAAAAAGGGCTTCCCGGGCTGGAAACGCAACCTTGGATGACTCAGTGGATGGAGAGCTCCCAAATGGATGCTGAGAGTGAGAAAGGGCACTGTAGGCAGAGCTCACAGGGCTCAGGCTCAGGAAATTGGGCCCAACAGGTAGAAAGGGACCTGGCACTAACAAGTTTGGTTTTCATTGGCTATTTTATGAATCCTCTGGGCCGCTTCCGAAGTAGGTTTCAGGGTGTCCCCAGATCTACCTCACCAGAACCTCTGGGGATGCCTGGCAAGTTTGGGAAAGTTGGTTCTCAAAGTGTAGGTAGTGCCTAAAGCTGCCCCCAGGGGCCCCACCCATACCAGGCATCAGAGTAGAAGTCCACCCGCGGAGGGAGCTGCTCGAGGAGGGAACGGTCACTGGGTCACTGCTAGCCGCTCAGTTTGGTGGGGCCCAGAATGAAGGTGGACCAGTTCTGCAGGTGGGGTGAAAACAAAAAGTGGGAGAATAGCAACAGAGTTACCCTAGTTCTTTGCAGGAGTGACTGAGGCTGCACATTCTCAGCCTTTTGGCCATTCCGGAAAATTCCCAGCCAGGGCCCTATCCCTCCCAGGGGGCCAGAGGGCAAGATGAGCCGTCAATCTCCAATTGGGACCTCCAGGGCTCATGCACCCTCAGGGCTTGGGCTCACCCACCCTCGGGGCTTCCCTGCCATCCCTGCCTCTATTAACTCTAACTCCCCACCCCACTGGCCCACTGCCTAGTTAGCCTGGGGAAAATGGTCAGCTACTGGGCTGCAGGAAGGAAGAAGGGAGAGGCCCCGGATGCTGTGTCTTTGCCCCATGGGCTAGTTTGGAACTAACCAGGGCCACCTGCTATCAGCAACAGTGGTTTCGCAGGTAAAGCACCATTTGTCTTGCGTCAGATATTTATCCTAAATAAACCTCAGTAACCTCTGGGACTCTGGGCCAGCAGTGGCCTTGGTAGCTATAGAAGACAGAGGAAAACACCCACAGTGCTAATTTACAATGTGGCTCTCCAAATGTGAGGTCTCACCTTTCACTTTGGTTACCTTTCCATCTCCCCTTTTATTTCTGCTACAAACATTCCTTTGAGAACCTGCCATCTGCCTGAAGCTGTGATGGCTCTGGGGTCCCAGTGATGCAGGAAAATGGATGTGGGGCGTGAGGAGGGCCATTTCCCAGGTCTCAGTTGAGCCCCTGGGACGTGCCCCTCCAGGTGTGGGTCCTTGGCTTCCCGCAGGAAGAAATCAAGTGCAAGCCACAGTTGAGTAAAGGTAGATTTATTTAGAGAGATACATACTGCATAGAGTGTAAGATAAGAGAAAGGCAAGGAAAAAGGTTTGGGAACTGGGTGCTCAAGTGAAAGTAAAAGTAGGTACACACTCCATAGACAGAGTGCGGGCAGACAGAGTCTTTGAAGAGGAGGGAGGGAGCGAAAAGGGCCGCTAGGCATGGTGTTGCCAGTTTTTATGGGCTCAGTAGCTTCACACGCCTACAGGTGGGACCATTCCAGCTACCCTGGGGAAGGGGCTGGGATTCCCAGGAATTGGGCCACTGCCCACTCTTTGGCCTTTTGCAGTTAGCCTTGGGACTGTCATGGCGCCTGCAGGCATGTTATTTATCACGCTGTTACAATGAGCATATAATGAAGCTCAAGGTTTACTAGAAGTCAAACCTCTTAATTCTTAAGGCCAACTAGGAGTTGAATCTTCCACCATTTTGGTGTTAAATTGCTCTCGTTCCTTGAGTGGCTGTGCCCTGTCCCCTTCCCAACTGTCCCACCAAGAAGAAAGGCAAGCCCTCCAGTCAGGAGTAGAGGAGATATCAAAGGTGTGATAAGTAAGCAAAGAGCTTTGACCACACTAGCACTCATCTGGAGTAGGATGGGGTGCAGGGTGAGGGTGCAGGCAAGGAGAGCTGAGCCAGTCTTAAAAAGCCAACTCTGGTCAACCAGCCAAAAGGAAGTTTATTCTTGCTAGAATCAATTAGCTGGAGGGAAGACATTGCGGTAGGATTTCAGGGATAAAACAGGGAGTGTTTGCAGATTTCTTTCCTTACCACTCAACCCCACAACCCTAGAAAACCTCACTTCCATCCCCAGTTAGACTAATCTTTAGTACTTTGGATCCAGACAATGACAGAAAAGGTCCAACGGGGAGGTGTTTACTGTGGGAGGGGGAAGGAGGGAGGAGAGAAAGTCAACCTTCTGATAAAGAGTGGAATGGGGAAGAGGGAGGGAGGGTGGAATCATGCCGGACTGTTGAACTGCTTCTAGAAGCAGGCTCTGCTGTGCAGTTAAATCAGTGGTTAAGAAGAATTCGGGTTTGGAGGTGGCTTTCCCTCCAGTCTTGGCATCTAGATTACCCTGGCTCTGCTCCGCCCGTCACTCATTCATTTGTTCATTCATTGATGCAGGAGATACAGCCATGGACAAAAAAATCCTCTGACCACATGATTTCTGTCCCCATAGGGGAGACAAGCAAAAAACAATCAAACTAGTAAGGGGTAAAGAGGAACAAGAAAGAGAGAGGGAAGGGTGCAGGGAGAGGGGGTGTACCAGTTCCCTACATTGGGGGACGCCTCAGTAATAAGGTGACAGGTGAGCAGAGACCTGAAGGAAGTGATGGAGTGAGGAGCATTGGCAGAATGGCATTCAGTGACAAGAGCAGCCCCTGCAAATGTCCTGAGACAAGACTGCCGGAGGAAACTGAGGCTGCTGGAACAGGATGAGCAACAAGGAATTCCTTTGAGAGAAGAGACCCAGAAGGAGTTTAAGAGCACTAGCTTTGCAGTCAGGCCCATGTGGGACCCATTACTTACTAGCGGTCTGTATTTAGGCAAATTGCTTCATTCTCCTAATGGCTCATTCTTCTTGTCTGTAAAATGGGAGGGACAAAATTATTGCCCTTATGGTGCTCCTGTTACAGAACCACACTTGGGTCTGCTTGCCTGAAGCGTAGCAAAGGCCAATCTACTGACACTGGGTTGGGGTGAAAGAAAGTACAGCGTTTATTGCAGGGTACCAAGCAAGGAGAATGATGCTCAAAAGACCCAAGGTCCCCAATGACTTTCAGGGGAGAGTTTTTAAAGACAGTGTGAGGGAAAGGGTCACAGAGTATGTGATCAGCTCGCAGGACAGCTCTTTGACTGGTTGATGGTGTGGTAACAAGGTAATGTTTGGGGGAATCTCAATCATCTTTCTGGTTCCAAATGAGTCTGGGGTCTGGGTACTGGTGGTCGGCATGCAGTGAACTTCCTCCACCTGGTGGGGGTTTCAGTATCCGCAAAACGACTCCAAGGATACGGCTCAGGGTATTATTTGTAGCCCTTGAGGAGAAACTAAAAGTCCATGGCCTTTTATGGCTAAACTATTATGATTTTGTCTTGCTTGACTGTTTTCCTTTGTTTCTGCGGTTTCTCACTTCCCTGATTAGATTTGCTATTTGGAACTCTGGTGAAGGCCTGGGAGGCTAAATCTTTTCTACAAACAAGAGGTTGGGGACATGGAGGGAGTGTGTCTGTCCCTAGGAAGGGTCCTGCTCCGTTTCACTCCATATGTTTTCCCTAAATAAGTGGCAGCTATGACTAGGGGTATTATAAGTACAATCTGCACATGTTCAATGTTTACTATTAACACTTTCCCCAAAAGATTTTCCAATGATATATTCTAGGTATTTTCTTTTTGATTATTTTTTCCAATTTTTTTTCATTGTAAAAAAATATACATAACATGAAATTGACCATCTTAACCACTTTTCAGTTCTAAGTTTAGTGGTGTTAAGTATATTCATGTATTGTTGGGCCACCATCACCACCATCCATCCACACAACTCCTTTTATCTTGTAAGACTGAAACTCCATCCTTTCAGTAGTAACTCCTCATCACTCCAGCCCCCCCGCCCCTGGCCACCACCATTCTACTTTCAGTTTCTATGAGTTAAACCATCCTAAGTACTTCATATAATTATATGATATTTGTCCTTTTGTAACTGGCTTATTTCATTTAGCATAATGTCCTCAAATTTCATCCCTCTTGTATGTCAGAATTTCCTGCCTTTTCAGGGCTGAATAATACTTCATTGTGTGCATCTACCATATTTTGTTTTTCCATTCATCCATAGATGGACACCTTTTGGCTACTGTAAATAATGCTGCTATGAACATGGGTGCACAAATATCTCTTCAAGACCCTGCTTTCAGTTCTTCCAGATATACACCCTCAAGTGGAATTGCTGGATCATGTGGTAGTTGTTTTTAATTTTTTAAGGACCCTCCATACTGTTTTCCACAATGTCTGCACTGTTTTACATTCCCACCAACAGTGCACAAGAATTCCATTTGCTCCACATCCTTACCAACACTTTTTATTTTCTGTTTTTTGGGCTTGTTTTTTGTTTTTGTTTTTTTTTTTTTTGGATATTTTTCATCCTACCAGGTGTGAGGTGTCTTTTTTTGGTTTTATAAAAACATCCGGGGGGGAGTATATAGCTCAAGTGGTAGAGTTCATGCTTAGCATGCACAAGGTCCTGGTTTCAATCCCCAGTACTTCCTCTAAAAATAAATAAATAAACCAAATACCCACCCCCAATAAAAGTTAAAAATAAAATCTTAAATCACACTGACAGCAGCGTGTCTCTTATGCATCACAGACCAGCAGTCACAAACTACACTCACGCGAGGTGGGGGCTTGCTGCCATCACCCCAGAGCTCTGTCACAGGCACCAAAATTGAGGCCAGAGGAGCCCAGAGCTTGGCTGGGTCTAGGCCAGATCGAGTCAGAATCAGGATCCAGTCATCTTCAGACGGAAGTAGAAAGTTTCTCTTTGAATCAGTACTTCCTTCCACTTTTGTTTCATTGTAACAGAAACCCTAAGAGTTTAAACCTTTTGCAGGGAGTTCTGAGCTATGGTCAGCATAAGAAAACAACCGTCCTGCTATTTTTTTTCTTATTTTTTTCCTTTTTTTAATTGATTTTTTTTTTGCGGGGGTGGGGGTTATCTTTACAAGTGTCCTCCTTTTAATCTTCAGTTTTGAAGATGAGTGATTGGGAGGTCCCTCAGCATCTGGCTTGGGTCTTTGGAATGGTCTCTGGAAGGCAGGCAGATTGTAGCAGGTCCTGTCTCTGCCCTTCCCTGCTTGACCCCTGTCTCTGCCAGGCGATGCACATCATATCTGATCTGGAGTGTTCTGATCCATCACGCTCCGTGCTCGTCCCCCTCTGACCTCAGGAGCCCACCTCTGGCTGCCCTGCTCATAGGCCGCCTTATCCTAGAAGCACCGCATGACAAGCTTCTCCCTCCTGCAGGACAGATCCCCGGTCTCCCTGCTCTTCTTGGTCCACGTGCTCTTGGCTCTCATAACGCAGTTCACCCTCCCTGGCTAGCCCGTGGGTCTGTGCAGGTAAGGGATGGGCACAGGCCTTGATCTGGCAGAGCTTGTCCTAGCAGGGGAAAAATAACTATGACAATCAGCAAATTGAGTGCTGCATTAGAGAAAAATTAAGTGCTGTATCAGATAAAAAATAAAGGCCCAGAGGCCAAAGGTAGAGCCCTGGGAGGAACAGCTTATGGCTGAGCTTAGGAACTGGAGGCCCACTGCAAACCTCAAACCTCGGCCTTTGGTATGTGGCAGGTGCTTTGCTAAAACTCTTTACAAGTATTAATCTCATTTAATCTTCACAACAATCCTAGGAGCCTTTCTCACTATCTTCACTTTACAGATGAGTCAACTGAGGAGTTTATCTCTAGGGAGATTAAGTAATTTTACCAAGGTTCAAAGGTAGGACTGTTTTACCCAGAGCTCAATTCTTTAACCACCAAATTCTACCTTTTCTTTAAAACCCTAGGATGGGTTTGACCTGGCCGTGGGGCTTTCTTTAATTCCCAGTTCCTTCACTTCAATCCACATTTAAACCAGTCTTCGGTTTCTGCCTAAAAAACAATGCTTACCATATTTCAATATTTATGGGAAGTCTCCATCTCTGTAACGGTGTATTTCCCAAATAATTTTTCTGATGGAGTCAGAAGAGAGAGAGAAATATTGGTCCAACCCCATTGTGGCAAGAGTTTTTCAAATTCTAACTATGAGAGGCGGTGGATGTGTTAACTAACCTTTTTGTGGTAGTCATTTCACACAATATGCATATATCAGTTCATTAAGTTGTACGTCTTAAACTTACACAATGTTATCTGTCAATTGTATCTCAATAAAGCTGGAGGGGAAAAGAAAGTCTTGCTAAAGTAAATATTTTTCAAAGTAAACAGGTCATTAAGTA